TAAAATCTAATCCTATAATCTCTGCCAGCATGACACATAGGTGACACCACTGTTAACACAGTTGTGCCACCTGCAGATTATTGAACTGTGCTCTCCCAACAGTGTCACAGCTGTACTTGGGGCACCCACAGCAGTGCCACCACTCGGCCACTGCCATGCATACCCCAGCATAGCGGTGGCACCACAGAAGCAATGTTTATGCCTCTATCTTCTAAACCAATTTCCGAGGGGAAATTGGTTTGAAAAGTACTCGGAGTTGATCATGAGCACCAACTAGCAAGGGCATTCAACCCCAAACACGGAAAAAGTACACGGAAAAAGATAAGTAAAATTTTTATACCGACGATACGTCAAAGGTCACATAAAAGAGTATGGCACTTTTCTGCTAGCGGGGGGCGGATTGTATAGAATTTCTTAGGCCTATTCTGCCTGTTCTTCTTTGGAAGATTTTCCTAGGCCGGATAGGCCCCGAAAAAACTACAAAATATTGTTATGCATTCTTCACTGAATTCGAGGCTATATAGCCTAAGCCGCGAATTGGAGTAACGCGTTGTTGTCGAGTCCTAGCAGATTTGGGGTCGATTCATGCCTTTTATAATCCTTTAGAAATTGGCATAAGTCGTTTTTTAGTGAAAGCCGAATCCGAGCGCCTGCGCGCCATGGAAGCGGAGCGAACCCGGGAGTTGCACGCGAAGAAGAAGGAGCTCGAGAGGCTGCAAGAGCAGATCCGGCAGAAAGAGCAGGAGCTCCAGGAGCAAGAGCGGCATATTCAAAGTCAGCTGACCACCACGACAAGCACCACCACCGAACGGCCCGCCAGCGAGGAGTCTTTTGAGTCGGTGGGTGTCGTAAATAAGGTTAAAAAAACGAAAAATGCAACGCGACAAATTCTCGTGCGAATCCATAGCCTGCAAAATCGTTAGCCCTGCCTTGCCCGGTCCTTTAAAGAGATTTTCCAGGTCGAAGAAGAGGAGGATGAGGCGAGAAGGGCCCTACTCGAGCAGAAGAATCGTAAGAAGAAGACGAGAAGGCCGGTGGCAGCTGGGGGTACGGTGTAAAGGGCAGAATTTTGAATGGAAGCTTTTGTAGGCGCGTCCCCTGCCAGAAATTCCGGACTCGATGAGGCCCGCGGCGAGCCCGGTGATGAACCATGTCGAAGTTGAGCCGCCAATCATCACGAAACGGCCTGGTCCGAGTGCTGTTGAGGTAGAGAGAGAGCGAGAGAGAGAGAGGAGAGAGAGAGAGAGAGAGAGAGAGAGGAGAGGGAAGGGGGGGGGAACGGGAGAGAGAGAGAAAAGAGAGAGAGAGAGAGAGAGAGAGAAAGAGAGAGAGAGAGAGAGAGAGAGAGAGAGAGAGAGAGAGGCAGGGAGACAGAGAAACGGATAAGGCTTCACTTTTTCCAGGCCATCTCCTGAAGACGACACCGCATTCGGCACTTCCGGAGGACCGGGGCCTGCCGGAAGGTTTTGATCCGGTAGTGGCTTCGGCGGTGGAGGCGGCGGTTTCGGAGGAGGAAGCGGATTTGGAGGTGGCAGTGGGGGCGGCTTCGGGGGTGGAAGCCGAAGTGGATTTGGAGGCGGAAGCGGAGCAAGCTTTGGCAGCAAAAAGTAGGGAAATGTCTGTTTTCTCTAACATAATTACAGCAGCCCAAAAGCCTTTGGCATTGGTTCGTACAATCCGACAAAAGATGAAGAGCACTCGGCAACTGAGAAACCTACTGGATATCAAGAAATTAAGGTAGAGTGAGAGAGAGAGACAGAATGAAAGATAGATTGAGAGACAGACAGAGAAAGCGAGACATCTCGTTGTTTAGAGCTTCCCATACCCAGAAGAAAAGGTTTCAACCACGCCAGCCGAAGAATCGGCTTTTAAAGGATCCTGGGCCAAGGAAACGACCACACAACCGACAAGTATGAACGTTTTCAAGACACTAATTTACTTTTTTTGCAGCCACAACCGCTCAAAAATGGTCCAACGAATACGCGAAGAAGTACTACCAGGAGTACTACAAGGAGTGGCTGAACAACCAGACAAAGTTGCACGAGAAAATGGAGGAGAAGACGGTGGCGGTGGATACGGTATGTTATGTTTAAAGGGATGGATGTCGGAGGTTATCAATATCTTAATATCTTACCAAATTTCTTATATCAATCCTGGCACGTTGCCGTAAAATAGCCTCAAAAAGTTACCCTTTCAGAGCCTAAAACAGCGCCCAAAGCTGATGCCGACCGGTGAATCTGCTCCTCCACCGACCCCGGTGCCCAAGGATACTGTAGGCGCCCATTCGCCAGTCCCACTTTTTGCTGCCCTATTTACGCCAGCCCCTGGAGTGGCAGCAGGAGTGGCTGTAACGCCGGTAAGTAACGTAGGCCTCGCGAAGCCTATGCCTAAGCTAAGCCCAAGCTAAGCCTAGGAAAAGCCTAAGCTAAGACTAAGCTAAGACTAAGCTAATTCTAAGACAAATCTCGGCAAAGCCTGAGTCAAGCCTAAGCAAGCCCGAGCCGGCGCAAAGCTTAAGTTAGTCGAAGCTAAGCTTAAGTTAAGCCCCAGCTAAACGAAGCTAAGTCTATGCTAAGCCTGAGCTAAGCTTGAGCCAAGTCTAAGCAAGGTAAGTATACGCAAAGGATCGGACAAAGCTTAGCTTAAGCTAAACCTAAGCTGGGACGAAGCTAACAAGGAGTGACCTTTTGGTGTCATCGGCAAAACGATTCGAGACCCAGCTCATTCGATAGAGAATTGAATTCTGAGCAAGACTGTGTTGTTGATTTTTGCGGAATGGCTGTCCCTGATTTTATAAAATTAAAAGACTGCCGGCGGCGCCCATACATTGGTGCCTGGGGAGCGAGTTGTTAAGGTTTCCACTTGGTTTTTTAATTCTATAAAATCAGGGAACCATTCCGCAAAAATCAACAACACAGTCCTGTCCAGAATTCAATTCTCTATCGAATGAGCTGGGTCTCGAATCGTTTTGCCGATGACACCAAAAGGACACTCCTTGTAAGGCCAAGATAAGCCAAGCAAAGGCTAAGCCGCTTCTTTTCAGGCCCCTCTACCCACCCGAAGGATGCCACCACCACAACCCGTACAACAACCCCAATATCTGCCCGTCCAGCCCCAAGTTCAACCCCAACCCGCGGCGCCCACTCAACCTCAGCAGTTCCCGGCCCCATTCCCGAACCCCTTCCAGATGCCGCCGGGCATGATGCCGCCCGGTGGTCTCCCACCTGGAATGCCACAAGGACAAGGACAAGGGAATATGTTTGTAGGTTTTTCAAAATTTTGTTCTCGACGGGATGTGCTAAAAAATCTACACCTACCGTGCGTAAAAGGGTCCGTTTTTTGCAACTTAGGGTTTTACCTTCGGGGCAGTCGTTTTCAGAGTTGGTACCATTTTTTAACGGATAATCTTGAGGTATTTTCAGGGAATCCTCGATCCCCGTATGGGCCAACGCGGTGATCTCACCTTCCAGCAATTAAACCAAATCTGCACCTCCATCCGAACGGCGTCCAGGTACGATTAAAGCCACTACCCATTACAACTTTTAAAAATCTTTAGAGCCTTCGGCATCGAGGACATCAAGGGCTTCGCCAAGATGAACTGCGGCTTCATCTCGGCATTCTACAAGTAAGGCCTTGGATTTAGCAAGAATAGCAAATGCAAAATTCCCATTACCCATCCACAAGCTTTTTCGGCAAAAAGCAAAAAGTAAGCCCAATGCGGGGCTCGAACCCGCGACAACCAGATTAAGAGTCTGGTGCTCTACCGACTGAGCTAACCGGGCGGCGAGGGCAGGGGGCCGGGTGGGGGTGAAAGGGTGGGGGTGGGCCCTGTGGGGCGGGCACTCAAAGGGGTGAGTGGCAGAGAGAGGAGAGCGGCAAGGCCGTGGGCGCCCAAGTCATGCGGGCTCTGCTATCTAAATCTTTTTGAGCTTTAAAAGCTTAGGAAAAGCTCACCGAAAATATATTTAATACCTTGGAAAAATTGACATAAAAAGGCATTATAAAGCGGACGTTAAATAGCTTTATAGAAGGCAAACACTGCGACAAAGAACGTCTAAAAACTATGAAATCTATTAATAAACGCTTTTAGCCCTAAAATGTTATAATAAATTCATTAAAAAGCAAGTTAAAAAGTGCTAAAAAGTAATACATTAAATAGATTTATAAACACGGCGTTAAATGGCTTTAAAAGAGCCAAAACTGTAGATAATTACCGCCCAAACTCAATGAGAGTTCGGCTTGGTAAGGTTTTAGCCATAGAAGTTTACAATAACGTCGTTAAAAACATAAAATAACTTTACAAAACAAAAATATAGATCTTTATTAAATCAATGCTTCAGGGACGCGACCTGCGAGCAAATCCAGCATGTGATGCAGTACTGCGAAAGTTACTTCAAAGACCCCGAACACCGCGGTTAAAAATAATAAATTAATTTTTAATAATTTTTATACCATTATAACTTTTGTTACATCCACTGACCCTTTGACTCCATGCTCATCCCCTCGATGCCGGTTTGTACAGTCCTGTGCAATTGTTTTTCCCCCGCTTTTTCTTGGTGCTATATTCGATTTCTTTTTTCTCGACGTGTTCAAAGATCTGCATCTTTTTTATAGACCTTTATTATTATTACTGATAAGCAACTAATAATAAAAATGAGCCATACCATAAATAAAAATCAGTCGAAAGCCGAGCTTTTTGAAAATGCTAATCGATATAACTTAAAAATGCAGGGTACTAAAAGAAAAAAACACCCCCTCTAACTCGACGCAGAAGTATCGGATAGGAACGATAGTTATACCATTCGAAAGCGCTTGAAACGGCCGGTTTGTGAAACCATGTTTTTATTTAAATCCGCTATTTTACAGGGTATATTGTAAAAATTTTCCGGTCCTGCGGGGTTGCATACGAGCCAATTTGCCTCAATTTCGCAAAGCAAAATGACCGAAAGTAAGTACGATGGCTGATGAGATGCATCAGCCGTTCCTTTCTGTTTTTAAATTATATAAAATGGCGTGTTTAAATCAAAATATGGTTTTTGTGATTCCAGCAAACTCGGCGCTTCAAGAGCTATCGAATGGTATAACTATCGTTCTGGTCCGATGCTTCGGCGCTGGTATATGAGGAGAATTACTTTCAGCACGAAAACAGTGATATATATGGAGTTGCTACAACATAAAAACTTTCGGCATCAACTATAATAAAAAAGTAGTGGTGTCTGTGTGTGTGTGTGTGTGTGTCTGTCCGGTCCCGGATTCAACTCGAAGGGGAAAGGAGCTAGAGCTTAGCTCTCTTCGGATTCGGATAGAGCGTGGTCAGAAACCCCCAAACTGATAAAAAAATTATGAAAAAGTTTTAATTTAAATTATTAAAATTAACTTTGAAAGTGGCGCCTTAATAAAACGAGTGGGGGCCCCTCTCCCGGGAGGCCACGCCCCCTTTCCCTTCGCCCCTCTCCCCCCAGGCCCCTTCGCGCGCCCAGATAGCTTTTTAAGTTACTTTAATACTTTTAATACTTTTTAATTATGTTAATTTATTATTTAAATGATTTAAAGTATCGGGATGGAATCTAAGTAGTTTTTGAAGGGGATTTCAGCCATGGGGGGTATCTGAAGCCATCAGGAGGGTATGTAGGTAGTTTTTGAAGGGGATTTCAGTCATGGGGGGTATCTGAAGCCATCGGGAGGGTATGTAGGTAGTTTTTGAAGGGGTTTTCAGCCATGGGGGTAACTGAAGCCATCAGTGTAGGTATTGCCATGAAGGCATCAGCGTAAGGTAGGGATGAAATGTGGTGGTGTATAATATGGAGGGTAGCCCGAAGTCCAGCCGGTTACAGTCGCGAAGCGGCTGTAACCGGCTGGTTTTGAATAATTTAGCGATTTTGAAAATGCCATTCGATAGAGGCCCGAATGCAAACTAGGTATCTTGGCCAAAGCCGGCCTCAAACCAACCCAACCATGTAATGCATGTGGACCGCCGTGTAAAACAGGATATCCCGATGATAGCGCACCTGTAATTTCTGTCATTAATTTTAGTGTTTTTAATTATATGAAACTGTATAACAAAGTCGATATTTTAAGCAAAAAATAATTGAAATAAATCGAACGTTTTGGCCAAATTTTGGTCAAACAATCGACTAGACAAAATTAAATTCCGGCAAAATCAAAGTTCGCCAAAATTAAATTTCGATAAAATGATTTTCGACAAACAGAACTTAGAAAAGACGATTTTCGGCAGAATGATAACAAGTCCAAACGCACATACCTGCGGATTTTTCGCCGCAGAAATCGACAGAATAAAATTCGGCGTACTTCCAATGTTGTCCCATATCCAGTGTGAGAGTTGCACGGGCAGGAAAGCCGTAACACCACCTGACTTGGCCGCCTTCACATGCATTTCCTTAATTCCGTCAATGATCGCCTCCGAGCGATTCTGCCCCCTATCGTGGTAGACAACATAATTATGGTCGTTGTAGAGCCACTCCGAGAGTACATAATCCGGCCTGCCATAGATGCTGTGGGTCCAGGTGCTGTCCGCCTCATCGTAAATGATCACGGCAAATTTGCTCTCGTAGGTTTCGCTAAAAATATGAGGAGTTTTAAAGGCGCTCCGAAATCTGGTCTACACCCTTCAGCGTTGATTCCTGGCAATTAGCCAGATGCGACCGCAACGCGACCGCGCCGCACCATCTTTTGCCACTTTTTGGACTTGAAAACGCTCGAATTTCAAAATTCAGACGTTGTTTCTGGAATCGTCAAGCAATCTTGATTATTCCAGACTTTTTAATTATGAAAATTGATCAGAGAATCACCGAGATCCAACGATTGGGCGCCATTACGACCTATAATCGCTGCGCACTCAGATTTTTGCAAAAAGTCGTTGGGTTTTACTCAAAGATTTTACGTTTTTCGAAAATAAATTCGAAATTAATTCGAGATTCGAAATTACGAAATCGATTTTCTGGGGCTTCTCGGCAGTTACCCTTTCGTTTTTCGGTCAGTAGGTTCAAGTTTTAGGATTTACCTCAACTTCTTGTAGGCACGGTCTGCGATTTCGGCGTTGCTTCCGCCCTGATCAATGGCTTTTTTTACGTCAGCTCGAGCCTGATCTGGCCAAAAACCTCGCAGCTCCTCCGCCTCGATCTCCAACTGGCGCCCGATGACTTTCTCGATGGCGAGTAGATCGTCGAAGATCACCTTCCTGGCGCCCTCTTCCTGAAAACGTGGCTGGGTTTTTGTTATGCAGCGTTGCCGGACCATTAGAAAGCGCGTGAAATGGGGCGGTTGCAACAACCTTTAAACCATGTTTTTATCCAAACCCGCGATTTTATAACGAATTTTAAAATGTTAAAGGGGCTCGAAAATCTGGTCCACTGGCCCCTGCGTTGATTCCTGGCAAATAGCCAGATGCGACCGCAACGTGACCGCGTCGGATGATTTTTTGCCCCTGTTTGGACTTGAAAACGCTTGAATATAAAAATTCTGACGTTTTTTCTGGAATCCTCATCGAATTTTGATCATTCAAGACTTTCCAATCATGAAAATTGCCCAAGAATAGCCGATATCGAGAGATTGGGTGCTTTACAAGGCATTACGACATGGAATCGCCGCTCACTCAAAAAGTCGTTTTCGCCGGAGAATTTTTGGTTTTACTCATATCTTTTACGTTTTTGCGCAACGAAATCACTTTTCTGGTACTTCGCGGCAGTGACCCTTTCGTTTTTGACCAGTCGGTTCAACGTCCCCCCCATCCACGCGCGAATTTTGACTTCCGAGCCCCTTTGTCGAAAGTTGCGAGCATTATGCTGCAACGTTCGATGGTTTGCTAAAACCTGTACGTTACCGTAGCGCGAGGCCCCCTCGGAGAGAGGGGGCCGGGCGGCTTTCGTGATCATTCCGAACAGACGATTTACGGATTTCTCTAGGGTTTACGACCAGGTCTGTGCGGGTATTGCGTTAGCAGAAGACCAGCTACCTTTTGCCTCACGCCCAGCATCTTTTGCCTAAGACCAGCGAGTTAGACCAGCACTTTACCTTGCCCTCTCCATCCATCGATGAGTGTGCTCGTATTCTAATGGTTTACATGCCGATAAACTTTGTGTATACCTTTTGTATCCTTATACCGAAATGCATTGGATTCTATTACACGATTGTAGAAACTACCACTGAACATTACTGCTTGTATAGCCTCTTGGGATCCCATGCCATCTCCCGGTCCGTGTTCTATCCGGATGCAGGGTTGTCTGAGCGGGGCCCAAGGGGCAAAGTCCTAAGTGATAGTGTGGCAACTCTAGCCTTCCTCCGTGATCTTATAGTAGAGGATATGGCCCAGAGGGACTATTACTTTCGTCACCCTTTAAGGAACGGCCACTGCATCTAATCAACTACTACATGCCTGCATCAAAAAGCTGACCTGGAAGGAGGCGCAGCTGGCAGCGAGTAGGTCCAGGCTGTTTACATGCCGTAGAATGTCGACCTGAAGGTAGAAGTTTTGAGTTTGTATACGTTTGAAGGCTACGGTAAGTGAAACCGCTTATTACAAGGTAACAACCAGAAAATTCAATTACCTCGAACGTGTGATAAACGCGGGCATTATAGCTGTTCGCCTTGAGAAATGAGCGCATAATGGAGTCGGCGCCGTTGATCCGCGACAAAATTCGACTGGCCAACGCTACCGGTGGCGTCATACGACACCAAAGCCGATATGCCTCGACGGTTTCCGTATTTCTCGACAATGACATCTGCCTCAGGTTGTAGAGCCCCAAACTTATCGGATCGGTAATCTCGCCCTGGAAAAAGGAGCATTTGGGTTCGGTTTCCGGTTAGGGGTTACCGGTTAGCTATGCCGGGCCCAACACAAAACGCCACCTCGAGTTTAGAAGGTTTTCTTGTGCCTCGTTTTTTGGTGCTTTTTGGGAGTTTAAAGGGCTAGTTCAGCCAATAAAACAAAAGAATTTCCGCGGCCGGGGGTCGAACTCTCTCTGCGTTTTTTGTCTGCGCCTCTCTCATTTCCCCGATCTCTAATAGCTGTCGTAATGGCGGACTGTTCGGGCGCACTGTGCCTACGTCCATAGTTTCCCAAGGTACCAGCCCAAGCTCTAAAAGTTGAACTAGCCCTATAAGACGTGATCTACAGTAACCGTCAAAATGATGTCCGGTCGGGAGATCGCTTGTAATCGGATCCGGGTACATCCGATTTTTCTGAAAATTCGCGTCCGAGCCAATTGTCCACCGGCAATCTGATGGCAATATCAAAATCGGTGCTGTTCTATTTCGCGGGGAAACTGTGCGGGGAAAATGTTCTTTGATTTGTTATAACTCTTTTATATTTTGCTATTTTGAGTTGTAATTAAAACTCTTAGTATATTTTTTGACGCTCTATCGAATGGCATGAAAGAAATTTTTAAAAAATATCGAAA